GAGCCGGCCCCCAGGACTCGCCGATCCCACAGGGTCTGAGCTTGGTGTGGAGCGTCTCCTGGGGTTTGAAATCTCAGCACCGGCTGGAACACTTCCCAGGTATGGTGCCCTCTGAAGGCTAGCGCAGATCTAACCCTCAGGGGAAGGGCCCCCAGTCCACAGCACCGCCTGCCTCTAGGCTCAGGTCCCATGGTGCTGGCAATGCCCTGCCTTGGCCCTTTGCACCCCGTGGGCTGCAGGAACGCTGCGTCCTCCCAGTCAGCTGCACGGCCACTGTCGGCATTGGTCAAGCGGGGCTCTGTCCAGAAGAAAGCTCCTTACCCCTTGGTCTCCATCTCTCTCAGAAACTAGCCTGAGAGTGTGAGAGATGAAGGGGCAGGGGCAGGTGGGGCCGCAGACCTGGTGGCGGGGTGGTGGGACTCAGAGGTGGAAGGCTTTCCCCCTCAGGGCAGGGGCAGGTGCAGGTGCAGAGAACTCAGGGATTGCTATTGGGGCCTTGGCCAGGGACACTGGGTGGCCGGCGGCTCCCCTTGCTGAGCTGGGAACCAGGAGAAAGCTGTGGACAAATGGTGCAGGCTGAGCTGCATGGGCCTGCTCGAGGAGATGGCAACCGGCCCCTGGGTTGGGCCTGAGGCTCAGGGGGAGGCTTGGGCTTGCAGAAGGAGCTTATGGAAGACGGCTGGGCCCTCCTGGAGAGAGCGTAGGGGTAGGAGAGAAGCCTGCAGGCCACAGAGCCCCGAGGGTGCCGACTCAGAGAGAGCAGAGGAAAGCCTTCAGGGGAGACTGAGGGGGGTCGGGGATGTCCTGAAACCGGAAGGAGCCTGCACACTGAAACACGTCACCGGCTCCTTGGGTCCTAGGATCAGAAACACGGTTAATCACAATTAAGCATGACATGAATCTTTTTCATGTGTATAAAACAATAGTGATTCCTCACTTGCACCCCAGGCTTATGAGGTTCAAATGGAAAAATGTATTTGGAAATATTCTGTGTAGTGGTTCTCAAACGCTAGCGTGTTGAAACATCATTTGGAGAGTTTGTCAAACACACTGCTGTTTGGAAATATTCTGTGTAGTGGTTCTCAAACACTAGCGTGTCGAAACATCATTTGGAGAGCTTGTTAAACACACTGCTATTGGGACCGGCAGGTGGTGTGACGGTTATGTTGCTGGACTTACATAGCTACCATGGTTCGAGTCCTGGACCCAGCGGCTTAGAACTCATGTCAGGCACGTGTGCATGTGTGCTCATGATCCCAGGAGAAGAATGGAGGAGAAGGGACTGCAGCACAGCATCCCCCCCAGCGGGTGATTTCTTACTTTCTGTCTCTGCCTCTCCATTGAGTGCATGTGCCCTATGGCAAAAATCTCTTTCTAAAAACGAAAACAAAAACAAACAAAAAACCCCACAAAAAACACTACTGCATTTCTGACTTCAGTAATAGCTGCAGTGGCATCAGACCCAGAGTGACCTCAGCTAGCATGAGGCTTGGCAGGACGGCGGCCACTTGTGCAAGGAGGGCCTCTAACGAGACCCAGGGCTGTCATGGGGCGGTCTGTCTGAGCAGCGTTAGCTGAGAAACCAGGAGTGGTTACGGGAAGAAGCCGAGACAGCTACTCAGGGAAGAGCCATCCACTCTGACTGGCCCTAAGTACAGGGCACGCCCTGTGTTTCCGAGACAGCTTGGGGTGCTGGCAGGCTGCCTCTCCGACTGTCTCCCTGTGAGCCGTTGCAGAAATAAACTCCCTTCTCCAGGCTCTGCCTCTGGGGTGTGACCTGGGAGTTTGAATGTCCTGTCTGTTCTCAGATGTCGACTTCATTGGTTCAAGACCACCCTTCAGGCACCTATGTAATTCAAATGTGGGGAGTTGCGGCTCGCTTTTGTAGCAAAATCCGTGGAGTTTTCCGTCAGTGCTGTTGCACCCCCAAAGCAGCGTTTTCTTCAGCCTGCTCTATTTACACCAGAGGAAGCCAAGCCTAGAGCGGGGTTTGCTGATGGTTTAGTGGGCGATGACTCGAGGCCAGCTTCAGGACAGGGGAAATACACTGTTTCTTATGGGGGAGATAAGGGGCCCTTTGGAATACGACGGGGACCCTCCTCCTCAAGTCAGAGCATTACTCTTCCCGACCTCCAGAAACCCCCTTAGGGACCCTGTAATTTGATCCGGAGGGACTAGCGTGAGAGCCGGTAGGAGGAAAAATTGACCTCATTCTTGAGTTCTTTCCTAAATCCCGAGAAGTGCGTACCTCGACTCTCCGTCTTTCAATCCCACAAAACGGGGAATCAGGAAAACGCATTAGCACCCTAGGCTAGACTGGGAACACAGCTGGGAGGAGACACAGCCGTCAGGACGGAGGGAGCGGGGGCAGGGGGAGGGGAAGCGGCTCCGGGCCGAGGGACCCCCAGCCCCGGCTTCACGACCGTGGGAAGAGCCGGGAAAGGACCCAGACGTCGGCCAGAGCAGAGCCCGGGCACGTGGGAGAGCGAGGGAGGGGGACACGCCGCGCCCGAGCCAGGTCGCCAGAGCTCCCGGCTGCTGGGAGCGGGGCCCGGGAGCTGGAGCGTTCTGCCCCACTTCCTCCCTCCTGGAGGCCATTCCTTCTCTTCCAGCCGGATGAAGGGGACGCAGGGCGAATCCGTCCACACCGCGTGGCCGCAGCGCGCACGCAGACTCGCTCCGGCCTGACTGGGGCGCGGAGAGACCTCGGGGGCCGCTGAAGTTACTCGCGAGGTGGGCGGGCTCGCCAGCTGCTGCCCAATCACGGCGGGGCCCCCCCCCTTCTTCTGGTATTTGCGTTA